ATTACCCTCCAGGATTGCTGGGCTCGCATCTACACTCCCCCGTCAGAGAAAGACAGTGGGTCTGTGGCTGTGTTCATTCACGGTGGAGGCTGGATCATGGGAAGCCCGAATATCGAAGATGCGGCATGCCGACGGATTAGCAAGTCAAGTGGTATGAAAGTTGTTAGCATCGGATATCGACTGGCACCCAAATTTAAATTCCCTACTGGTCTCGACGACTGCGTACGAGTTACACTTTGGGCATTGGATCACTTTTCGGTACCTTCCGTGATTATCATGGGAGGCTCAGCGGGTGCTAATCTCGCTTTTGGTGTGACACTGAAACTTGTGGATGCAGGATTTGGGGAGAAGGTGAAAGGTGTACTGGCTCTGGTGCCTGCAACCGTGCATCCCGACGCTGTTCCAGAAGACAAAAGGGATCAGTACACTGCTCTGCATGAAAATGCTAACAATACTGTCAACACTTTGGCTTCGATGGGTTGCTTCTTGGACTCCTATGCAGCACCACCGCACGACAAGTATTTCTCGGTTCTTCTTCATCCTCGTCTGAGAGATTTGAAAAAGGTTTACATTGTCGAATGTGGAACTGACACCCTGAGAGATGATGCACGATTGATGGGAGAAGCGTTGAAGGAGTCTGGTGTGCCTCTTCTGTATGATGCCTATCCTGGGTACCCTCACTACTTCTGGTCATATCCATCTCCAGTGTTAGCGGAGGCTTCCGAGACTTTCCATGAGAACATGTTCCGAGCGCTAGCATGGCTTGATCATGAATGAAAATTGCAAGAAGGAGGGGGTGCATTACTGGTGAATGGATATATTTGCCTACTTTTGTTTGCTAGACACCAAGGACTGATATCCTGTTGTTCGATATTTGTCAGAAGAATATGCTGCTAGAAGACGATATTGAACCTTACGACGCTGTTTAGATTGGAAAAACCAGCAAAACAGAAAAGCTTGTAAGGTGCGTAGCACAAAAGCTATTAAATATCCACCACCCTTCACTGATGGATACCAAAGTTCAGTTTTGGTCCTTTGATGGACGAGTTCTTCAGCGAGCCGATCATCTGCATATCGCGCCCGCTCTATCCAAACTATTTAGCCGCAGATCGTGATCCAATATTTTACCTATATTTCGGATTGCTTGGACAAAGAACCTCAGAAGGAATCTATATGTCAAAGACCAAGCATCGTTTTTTGGTATATTTGTGAGGTTCAACCAAGCGCACTAGCAGCGCCAAAGACGTGAAGCCATGAGACGCGATCAGCCGTCTTATCAACTAGAATGAGATCGCTTCGAATTTTGAACCTCCAATAAACATTTCAGCACATTGGCCTCTCCTTCCAATTTGGAGACTCGCATTTTTAACGCATCCCGCTCTTGCTTGATAGCATCCAGTTCTGCTTCCAATTCATGGGTACGATCAACACGACGTTGGCGATACCGCCGGGCAGCCAGCGTGTTGAGCCTTCTTCTAGATGCTCGGTCGGATGAGTCCTTCGATGATTCGCTCGGCGATGAGCTGGCCGAGGGCGAGGGAGTAGGCGGCACTGTGGATGAGTCGGAGACATTCAGGTTGTCTCGTGGGGTTAACATAGATGGGGTGATGAACGCAAGTTCCTCTGGAGAAAAATTGGGTCCGAGATCAGGCGAGGCATCGAGGGTGGAGGGGGACAGAGGCTGGGTGCATGTAGCAGCATCCCAACTTAGGAGAGCGCGATCGGAAAATGTTGGATCGGGCGGTGGTGCATGGAAGGTGAACTGGTTCTCTGAAGGAGGGGGCACGGAGTAGGATACGGGTAGTGTTGACCAAGCATAGGGATCGTGGAATAAAAAGCCATTGCTCCGGTCGGGGTACTGAGGGTTAGAAGCGTCGGGCAATTGCGAAGGCGATCTCAACGACGTGACGGATGCCGCACCCGATGGAAGATCCGGTGGTAGCCATTGTGAAATAGTTGTGGTTGGGTCCTGAGACCCGAAAGAAGTAGAAATTGGAATGTACTCAAATAATCAGTCGATTGTTCAAGATCTTGCGATGACGGCTTAGAGGAAAGGAAGAAGACGATTCCGGTGCGGATGGAGATAGCGCGTTGGTGGCTGTGGCGGGCCCCCATTGGATGTTTTGTTAATGCTACTGATCAACACATTTATTTACCTGCAATAGAGCGAACCTTTTATATTCCAGTCCTATACTAGGATAGTACTTCTGGATACTCCCCTTTCCATTTAAGACCCGGGCTTACCAGAAAGCTGGGATCCCTATTTGTCCAATGTCCTTGAGCAGAGGGCGAAGACACTTGGAAGACATCAAGAACTGTGTACCAATCTTCTCCGAGTGGCTGTAAGATTAACAATTCTCGACCAATTTCCTCCGAACCACTTTCCTCCGAGCCATTCTTTCCCGAGATACTAAAGGCGTAGTCTGCCGTTCCCTTTTGATTAAAAAACTATCGCCCACCCCATGTCAAATAACATGCCATTGCCTCCCGTCAGTTTTCCATACTTGGTCCTGGCCAGGTGAAATGTTTTACTATTGAATGGAGGACAACAAAATAGCGTAACATGTGACAGTGCTGCATTATCGTCCATGTCCCCGCTACCCTGGGATCAATGGCCTCAGAAACCTAGTATTGTACTGTTATCTCCCTCGATGTCTTCAATTCAAATCTGTGACAGATTATCTAACTCCAAATACCAGATCTGAAGCTGACGGTCTCGCCAAAATGCCTCGTTTTCTTCGTCTAGAGGATAAATGGCAAAAGGAATGGCCGAAATGCTCGGAAACAGCTGCACTTTCAGCTGGGCAAAGAGTGCACGGACAGCAAAAATGCCAGGCAGCGTTCTTTTGTTGTATCCGGCGCATCTTCGGTCTTTTTGCTCACAGAAACACTTTAGTGTCCTGACCTGTCTGAGCAGCTACCTGAGAGCAGCTAGACGGGAATAACCAAAAGCCTTCATGGAAGAATGCCAGTACTCGCTTCTCATGGGGCACGGTTCCACTCGCTCTGTGGATCTCGGAGGTCCAATTAGCGGAAGGAGATATTCCGTCAATCTTCCTGCACAGCTCAGTCGTTCCGAATGGTCGTATTGTACGAGGCTGCGGCTAGCATATTTATTACTTAGCGTCAGCACGAAAGTAACCCAAGAGCGGCTAAGAACAAAAGGACCAAGTCCCGTTTGTTGGGGCTCCCTTAAATGATTCGCGTCGTCTGGTTTGGCACGTGAATTGGGTGATTCGACGTGAAGGGCTACTCCCTGAACTTACGCTTTTTTCTTAATCGGTCAGCGTCGACAGTGCCACATTATCAGCCCTAGACATGGCTACCAACACACTCCATACTTCTGTGAAATTGATTCCAACAGCCGGTGGCAATATTGAGGCGTTCGCTAATAGCGAGGAATCAATCACGGGGTCACAGTCGAAATCTCCTTCGTCTACCTGCGGCTCTGGCAATGACAATGAATTTAATTGTGAGATTTGCAACAAATCTTACTCTCGGCGTATGTCCTCAAATGTTCCTACTCAATAGGTAGAAAGGGTCTGTGTCTAACATGCTAGTCTATCAGATGATCTACGAGATCGACACCGCCGTCGATGTATTGCCAAAGGAGACCGGAACCGCAAGTCCAAGCAGAAGTCCTGTAAAACATGCGCTCAAAAGAAGATCCGTTGTTCTTTGTCCCGTCCTTCCTGTGCTCGGTGTGCTCAATTGGGAAACTCATGTCAATACCCTTCCGGCGAAATGGCAGTAGCCGATGTCGGAGAGATTGGATACAATTTTCGCCTGGTCAGTACGACTCCACCTATGGCCACAACTATTCAGGAACAGCCACGCAACCTCAAGTCTATGGCATCTGGGCCCTCACAGTCTACCGAGATGATGAAGTCTGTCTCAATGGCCGACACTCCAGATGAAAACCACCAGGCATCTGTGGGATCCATGCTGAACCTCAACGCCCAACTATCTACCCCATGGCCACCCTTCGATTTTGAAAGTATGCAATTTGCAGAGGATAACATACCAGACGACTTTTGGTCTTATCCAACTGAGATACCTGGGAGCTCTCTGCCATGGAATGGAGACGTAACACACCTTCCCGAGTTTGAACCAACAAACAGCGAAATCTTCAACGCAATTCAACCTCCCCCGACCAGGTCATTGAATTCTGTTCAGACTTCAACTTCCGATCAATCTGTTTCAGGTCATCTTGATATCATCCAACACATCACAGAGTACGAATCAAGTGCATCCGCACCGAGCGTCCAATCGAAATCCTCTTCTTCATCAGAAAGCAAGTGGCTCGACAGTTTCAACGAAGAGGAGCGTTCAATGTCTGTAAACCTGGACAATAGGCTTTACAGTCCCTCTCATCTCATCTTCGGTCACACATTCATGGTCGGCTTGGGACATCAGATCCGGACTGACTCAAGCAGTCTGTGCCAGGAGATGCTCGAGCATCTGCGGGAATATCCCGGTCTCATTCTCGACCGAGACTTTTGGTCCCCCTTCGTCCACCACAGACTATACCGCTGCTCTTTGGGTGGAATGGCACCACCAATGGCAGACGCTTTGGCTTGTGTAGGTGCATACGCGAGCACAGTCGGCTCAAATTCCGGTTTGGTTGATCGGATGATATCCCAAGAGCGGGAGAAGCTTGTGCGGAATTTCCACAGTTACACCGATACCCCTGAATTCTGCCTGGCTGCTATGCATGCTGTATGCATTTATCAAACTATTGGACTGTTCGGTGACAGCTTCTTACCTGCGGCTGTTAAAGAAGCAGTGTTTAGCAATGGAAGTGAGGAGCGGCGGCAGGAGTTTGAGAGATCTGCCGAACTCTATAGCTCATTCTTGTTGAAGATGGCCCGACGACTATCGAGTGTCCATTCGAAGGCCCTCCAAATCCACCACGAGGATGAAAACGATTGGAACCAATGGAAATTCATGGAATCCCTTCGTCGGAACTTCTTCTTCGTTCATATAATCAACATTCTGGACTCGCAGGCACGAAAGTTGAACGAGAGCTACTTTGAGCCACTGAACGACAACATGATTCTCAGGCTTCCACTTCCTGCTCCGGAACGAATGTGGAGGGCGTGCAGCGCCGAAGAGTGGATGATTGCGCGTGCACAAACACTGGGACCTTCGATTCCACCGAAGTCCCCTGGAAGTGGTGGTGAACCGTCTCTTCGGACACTGGGACATGTCTTGCAGGCAGTCCATGCAGGAAAGGTGAATGTCGCGTCGTTATTGCCACTAAATCGCATGATCCTGGCGAGCGCTATCATTTCCCCACCAGGGGCTGCATCATTCTAGTCGAGACCTTTAAGCTCCTATGCTTTAGGCTTAGTCGTTAGGGTTAAGTTGCCATGTGTGTACATTCTCTTATCTCGAATGACTAGCCGTAGACTTTGGGTTTTGGATGATTCCAAACGTTACAAATCATCCCTCATTTGACGCACGTTTTGAATGTGTATTTACGTCTGAAGTAGCGACATATTCAGCTAGATTTCTCGCTCTATCAAGAAGTATCACTAACCAGATCCCCAAACACAACGTCGGACTCGGAACTCAAATACTTGCAGGATTGAAATGCTGCCGTCTCGTGAGAAATTAATTCCTTCAAGATCAATATATAGCGATGGTAGGTTAAAAGGTAAGTGTCGGTGGTTCTCAATCAGACCCTCCACGCCAGCTTCTGTATGGGAGAGCCTGATTAGGGTTAACCTGGCAACCAATGAGACGCGCAACAGATAGCAAACCCATGGAGATATTGAAATCAATTTTCCTTACTAGGTTTAGCTCTCTATTTATGACTGGCGGGCGTAGACGAAAGCTGCGCCGCATATGGGAAGAATGGGAGGGAAGACGCAGAACAGTGCTGACCAGAAAGAGAAAAAGCAGGCGGGTGATCTTGCCAAATCGCCAAATCTCCCAATCGATTCTGGGTAGGTCCATGTATTATTACGGTACTATAACGATGACTCTGTATAGATGAAACACCCCCCATCTGAGTTGATTGACATTAAATCGTAAGAGTATGGAGGTATATCTGATTGGAATATTGTTTCAAGACCATGACCATCACTATGGAAAGTTCTAGCTACCATGGCTACCCCATAAAGTGGCGAGGCATCAGGTCATGTATTACAGAAAATAAAATATTGTATAGATAATTTTACAGGAATTTTGTTACCCCGGGACTATTCCTAATAAAAGTATAGTAAATCTTGGCATTGGGTAAGAAGTAGTGAGACCATTTGAGTGGGATATGAGAGCGATCACTCAATGGTAATCTTCTTGATGGCCGGAGCGGCGGTCTTAGGCACAAGGACAAACAAAATGCCATTTTTTAGGCTGGCTTTGACGTTGTCCTGATCTACACGAGCCCGGAAATGAGGAAGTGCGTTGGAATTCGCGGACCGATCGCTCGCTGGCCCAGAAGCGATGGGCAGGCTGGAGATCCTTGTTAGTCTACTCAGCCTCGTCGCCCTGCGCCTCAGACTCGGTGCGAGAGGTTTGGTACTCGAGCGCGGTGTGACCCTTCACGATCAGAGTCTGAGGGTCGGAGAACTCGATGTCGGTGTCCTTCTGAGCGAGGCCAGGTAGCTCGCCGTCGAGGTGGTATGAGTCGCCGCTCTCGCGGACGTCAAGGCGAGGGAAGAATGAGCTAGCCGCAGACCGACTACGGTTGGACCGATGGACATCGTAGTGGTCAAGCAGACGAAATAGATGGCTGAAGTCACCGCAACTGGGGAGGCTGACACGCAAAAGATTCATTTTGTAAATTGGATCAGGAATATTCAGAGAGCAAGAAGCAGTGATAAAATGACCATGGGAAAGCTTAAGAGGCTTAGGCGATCTTGGATATGGTTTAAGATCTGATGATGAGGAAAACAGCTGGTGGTAGTTGAGGGTCATTATATATGATGACACAATATCGTGGTAGAGTTGTCGCTAGTTGTTCATCGGACCAATCTCTGGCTTTTGACAGATCACAGTTCCAAATGTACAACCTGGCTTAAGCCCTCTCGCAAACAAGTCCCGAAATTCAGAGAGCATGCGCGATGTCATTTGCTGGTTTGTGATCTCGTCCTTTGCTTGACCCGTACGCTCATAGACAAGAGGCATCATTACAGCAAATGCGGTAAGATCCCAGTTCTCCAACTCGGTTTGTAATTCTGGTCGGTCAAGTACGCTGCGCTCAAATTTCTTGACATTAATCAATCCGCTTCTTTTGCAATACTGGTTCACTGCTTCTGGAGCGGAGGTGCTAAACTCGTTCATATGCAGATAGTCGAAGAATGGCCGCAAGAGCCTTTTAAACGCTGGGAACTCTGCCGAATTTCCTTGAAAATGACTGTTTAACTCAAATTCAGTCCATTGGAGATAGCCTCCAGGCTCTATATTCCAATCGCATCAGTCCGGAGAAGGGTTTGGAATAGTTATTCAGAAATCTTACTCAACATCGTTATCAGATTTTGAATAGCAACAGCAAAGTCCGACTCCTTGATTGCCCCGACAAGTAATCTCATATTAATGAGGTCGTAGCGATTGATGTGGTTGGAAGGAAACGGCAGGAGTATATCGTGAATTTCAAACCTTGTATTTTCGGAAAAATACGGAAATTGGGCATCTGAGATGTCAAAGCCCTGGTAAACTCGCTGGATATCCGGGCATGTCTCATTCATCAACTGACGAACTTCTTCAAGCCACACACTTATTTGGAATGTGAGCCCAGGTATCAAGTCACGGTGCCAAATAGCGTAATTAACTTTGCACTTACCCAGTACCAGTACCAACGTCGGCAATTGCAGTCAAGCTATCTAATGGGATTGTGTTGTTTATCGGGCCTCCGATAATCTTTGCAATGAACTGATGTTGCTTGTTCAGCCTATGTCGATCTGGTTAGTTCGATTCATCAACCATTTTGGTAGCAAGTACCTGTGCGACTCTTTCTTATCTCTTAGGAAGATGTAAGTATCTGGTGCACCCATGATAAATTGTATTAAAGAAATTTAGAAGAGGGAATGCAAATTGAGGGGGCTTTTTTTTAGCCCCTCCTAAACGCAGAATTCAACCACTAGAAAGTACGAGAAACTAGTAACTAGGCGTTCCTTGGCTCCGCGGCCAAGGAAGGATAGAAAGCAGGGGTCCCTGGTCCCTTCACAGCACCGCTGCGCACATGCGTCGCGAAAAAAAGGGTTTTCCATTCGTGGGCCTGTGTCTAGATGGCGTAGATACTTCTAAGGACGCCTTGACACCCAAAAAATCAATTAACTATGAGAGAATTTTATACAGTTAGGTAAGTAGGTAGATAGAAATTCGGCCTTAAAATAAAATTGCACAAGTCCAAAGCAGGTGGAAGATATCATGTGAAAATTAGCCAGAGCTTCAGGTAAAATCAACTTTGGCGGAGGGTCGGGCTAAATGAAACCACCCATCCCGTACATCACACACGGCACACATCTTATAGTTTGGACTCGTTCCTTACCACCTCAATTGATCCCTGTATGGTGCCGCTTGGTCAAATTTTCTCCGTCTTGGCGTGAGATCGCGTTTTTGTTTGATGGCCAATTAGGCACTTACGGTTATTTTTTGCCGTCCCCGTTCCCCCTTTCGACGCTCTTTCCGCATATATTGTGTTCAAAAGCCTGCACTCGAGAACAAGTCCCATTAGGAAAGATATCCTTCATTATATCTTCGGAGTATGTACCTGAGCGATTAGGAGGTAGCTATTTACTTTGTGCAGGTAGCTAGTACTTACATATTCATTCAAGTTTATCCGCCCTTTTCCCCAACTACTTGTCTCAGCAAGAGATATACTCGTACCCATTTATTCCAGATATGCAAACACCCAAGCGCTAACGGAGGAGTGCTCGACGAAAACTACAGGGGCAATATTCTGATGAATTACAGTCGAGTATACAAGGTCTTGAATCTCTCCCGTGCAAACCATGGTGGCTTGCAGTAGCGTGTGACTCAAAATTGGGCGTATTCCCGATGCTACATTTATTTTGGCAGGCTTGCCCAGCTCGATTATAGTGGACTTCGTGGTGTAAGCCGCCATTGCAGAGGATGTAAGAAAGAAGGCCGAGAACTCCCAGAGGACTGCATCTCTCATTACGACATGCTTTAAGACCTCCTAACCATGTCAGCTGAACAACCGAGTTACTCTTCATTTAAGAAAGGCTAAGCGGAAACCACAGCCGAACCCAGAACCAGACCAGTAGGGCGGAACAAGAACTCCAAGATGTCTCGCCGGATCCTCTCCGCCTGTGATACATGCCGACAAATGAAAAGCCGATGTACCAGAGAGAATCCGTGCTTGATGTGTGAAAGGTCTCAGAAAGTCTGCAACTACAGCCCCAGTAATAGGCTCGGTCGGCCCAAAGGCAGCAAGAACAGGCGGAAGCCGATACAGCAACCCCTGAACATGAACAAGAAGCAAAGGAGCAGGCCGCAGGGAGGAGACAATGGGGGTATCATGCAGTGGATCCAACACGAACAGCAAGAGCCACAACTTCAACCACAGCTGCTCCAGCCGGAGCTCAACATGATCGAGTTCGAAGCCGACATGCAGTACACGGTTGATCCCACAATGGCTTTTGGTGATGGCAACACATCCACTGAGGATATTAGCGGTGGCCTTATGCTTGGTACCAGTTCGGGTTTGCTCGACTCGGTGATTGCAAACGATGACATGGGCCAAAATCATTATTCTTACTTTTCTCGGGTATCATCAATCCAATTCACCGCATTCACACACATTTTGGCAACTGACACTTTCATTTTGCTTGAATGCAGACATCCCGTTGGCTTTCAAATCACCTGCTTTCCCTAAATGACCCGGGGCGTAACTTCCCACCGAATGGAGCGATCGGTCTTGATGGCCATACATTCTCATACAACAACTTTGCCTCGTCGGGTCACTCTCACGCATCATCATTTCAGCCTTACAAGCGAGCGATCCCCAAGTCTACCATGTCGAGAGGCCTTGACGAAATCTCAACAAAATGGGGAAATTGATACCAGCGAAATGATGTACGCTAAAACTTTTGTCTCGGAAAATCGCGTAAAGTCCTGACACCATACCTTCGCCAAACCAGCGCACAAATCCGATTCCTCTCCGAAAGCCAAGCGATATTCCCAGGAGAACAGAGTTCCCAGATTCCCAGAACGAAGACGTGTGTTCCCAGGGTGGAAAGATCCCTCTGTGAGGGTCTCACGTATTCGTAGATGAGGACAGCGTATTCAGATCAGTAATCAATATTAAATAAAGCTATAGTCGACTCTAGATACAAGACGTAGCGCGAGGAAGCAAAAGGAAGGTAGCTTCCTCGCGTTCAGGGGAACCCATATACACCATGTGGGTCCCGCGCAGATCATATCTCCATATGCTTCATGTATATCCTTGACAATGGGATCAAAAGCTCCTAGGAATGCTTTGAGCTTCCCAGACTCAGTTTAACAAGCACAAGAGGTTGTCAGTCTCTCGCCAGCCAGCGAGTTGCGTTTTTCTGCCGACAAGCTCCGCCCTGGCTCCACCGAGATGAATCCGTGTCTCCTTGGTCACCGTTTAGGTATGATGAAAGAAGAAACTCAATGAACCAGCACTTTTAGCGCTAAGTCATTTTCGAAATCAAGCGAAGCAGCCAGTAGCTTTTGGCTAAGGTCTAATGGTGTCCAGCACTTGCAAAGATGAAACGGCCGCGTTGTACTTTTGAACGATCAGGATTTCATTTCTTGCTAAGCTTGCTCCAAAGATTTCACCGCTATGACCTCTGTTGCTGA